CGAACTGGTCGTGGAACATCGATTTCTTTTGATTTTGGTCAAGATCTCTCACATGACTTTCTTACTCATGCATCATCAAATGATATATCATTGGAACATCTTGCACTTGCTACTTATTATGTACTTTTATTCAAACTAACGAATGGAGAAACAGATTTATGCACTGGAATAAATACACATGGACGATATAGAGATGAACTTAACTATATCATTGGAATGTTTGTGAATGCCATACCTTTGCGATGTCAACTCGATCCTCATTTATCATTTCATGAACTTACTAAACACGTACGAGATAATATGATAAACTGTATTAAATATTCATATTTTCCACTTCAACATATTCTCAATCAACATCCTAATATATCAAATCCTGTATTTCTTGATACATCATTTGAATTTCTGTTATTTATGGGAAAAGATGAAGAAGATGAAATAATGCTTGGTGATAGTCGATTTTCTTTACTACCCTTGTCAATTAAGATTAGTGAAAATGAAATAATGAGTAAATTTGATTTCATTCTTAGTTTTCAACATGACCTGAATCTTAATGAACTTTCATGCACCATCGATGCTTCAACTGATTTATTTAATGTTGAAACAATTTGTATAATTACACAAAGATTACAGACAATGTTACATCAACAGTTCACCTCTTTTAACTGTACAACAAACAAACCCATCTATGAATTATCAATGATATTATCAAATGAACAATATCTAATGCAATCATTGAATAATACACAAACATCATTTTCATCTGCTCCTTCCACTTGTATTCATCGTGAGTTTGCATATCAAGTAATGAAACATTCACAGAAACTAGCTGTTGAACTAGATGAACAATCATTGACATATTGTGAACTTCTATATTATGTTCAAATATTATCTTTAACTCTTCTTAATGAATATCATGTATTTCCAGGTGAGATCGTGTGTCAATGTGTTGAGCGAAGTTTGTCAATGGTAAGTTGACGAGGAGAAATAACTATTGATGTAAGTTTGAAATTGATTTTTATTAGGTGATCGGTATTATGGGAATTGAAATGGCTGGTGGTGTTTATTGTCCATTGTCACCTCGAGATCCAAAACATCGTCTACATGCACTCACACAACAAACACAGAGTCGTCTTGTTCTTGTTCATCATTCTACATCGTTAAAGTTTTCCAGTGATATCGTTTTATGTAACATAGATCTGATATGGACTGTCGACGATATTAATAGTTCTATAATTATGGATTGCCTTTCGGATATTGTAGTAACGGTAGATAATATTGCATATATTATTTTTACGAGTGGTTCAACAGGAACATCGAAAGGAGTAAGATGAACTCTTCTCTAAATAATAGTTTTATTTGATTCCTTTTCAGGTCCAAATTCGTCATCGAAATTTGTTGACTTGCATTGATTCTCTTGTTCGATTGAATTTATTCACAAATAGAGATACTATGATACAAATGGCAAGTTGTTCGTATGATGTGCATGTTCAAGAAATCATTGGAGGTTTCATTATTGGTTCCACGATTATAATGCTTCGTCCTCAAGGAAATATTGATTTAGACTATGTGACAAAGACGATAAATCAAAAACAAGTATCATATCTGCAGTGCGTACCGACATATGTCAATATTTTGTTGAAATTTCTACAAAGTCGTAGCATTGCGAATTTGAGTAGCTTGCGTAATGTTGATATTGGTGGTACGTCTCGAATTTTATTCAATAAATACTTATTGTCAAAACTTTCTAGGAGAAGCGAGCACAGTTCAACTAATTGATAAGTTGTATACCTATTTGCCACAAGATTGTTTTGTATGGAACATATATGGACCTGCAGAAACAACTGTCGATTGCACAGGTTATGTCATAGGTAGAAATCTAAATATGATCAACATCCCAATTGGAGATCCACTACCCAACTATCGATGTATGATTATGAATCAATATTTACAATCATCTGTCGTGAGTCAAGAAGGTGAACTATCTGTAGGTGGAGCAGGTGTGTTTGCTGGTTATCTTGGGCGTGATGATTTAACTGCAAAAGCCCTTGTTGAAATAGACGGTGAATTATTTTATCGAACAGGTGATCTTGTGAGAATGGATAACAATGGTTTTCTTCATTATCAAGGAAGAAACGACCATCAAATCAAACTGCGTGGACAACGAATTGAACTTGGTGAAATTGAACGATGTTTACTTAACATCACATCTATTTCTGCTTGCGTTGTCATGAAATGGAATGATGATTATTTAGTTGCATATGTCCAAAGTTCTGATGCTAATGAACCGGAAATGCGTGAACATTGTGAATCTCATCTTCCACCACATATGATACCATCAATATTCATTATACTAGAGAAACTACCTTTGAATGCTAATGGAAAAATAGATCGAAAACAACTTCCTTCACCCGACTTTTCTTTATCGACTTTATTACCATCCGATAAATCTGATACTCCTCTTAATCCGTTCGAAGAACATATACACACTATCTGGTGTCAAGTTCTTCATTGTGATGAAAATGACATTTCTAGAACTACCACTTTTTTTAGTGTTGGTGGTCATTCACTATTATTTATCCAACTTTATCATCATTATCAATCAGTATTTAACTTTGATGCTCATTCACTCTCGATTGGTCTCTTTCTTCAGCAACCAACTATTCAACAACATGCACAACTACTTCAAACACTTCCATCCAATGATACGCAGCCAATTCGATGGCAGTCACTACATATCAATCAAGGTAAAACATTTTTAAATTAAGAAACATTCATCAAATATATAAACCCCTTGATTTCTCTTGTAGACATTACTTCGAA